TGGCAACGTTTACCAACTAATGCTCTGGTGCAACACAATCATAAATGATTATTTTATTTGGTTAAGCCATCAGAGCACACAGTATTATGGCAGAAAAGATTTTCCAAGGGAAAGTTTAAAACAAATTAAAAGAAAACAAACAGATTTTAAAATTAAAGTTTTCCCTTTTTAACTCATGCTTTTAAAGTGAGATTGACAGTGAAACATGGAAGTACAGGTTAAAGGAGGATGAAAATACAATGTAAAAGAAGTGACAATGAAGTAGTGACTGATGAATGTCTTTTGATCAGTCAAGAAAAAATTCAATTATTTGCAGGGCTGATGACTTCCCACTTCACAGCCATATTGCACCAGTCTTTAATAGATAATAACAACAAGCAAGTCTTCTTTTTGTATAGATTTAGTTCATCACGAAAATGTCAATGCTGCAGAGATGCCTGCAGAGTTAGTAAGCACTGCAGTAATGGTCCACAAGCCCACCTAGTTCAAAGTGTCAGAGCAGAGTTACCTCCTTCACAAGCACTTTATTTTTGAAATTGATTCCTTCTATCTTTATGGATTTCTTCAGTCAAGGTCAGTGCTTTCATTCTGCAGCCAGGAATAGGCTAGACAATAAAGTTGCAGAAATTAATTCATCTAAAAAGATGCGTGTCATTGAGATTTGAGAAGAATAGAAGTCTCTCCAAAAAATTGCTGAGTGTAAATATCATCCTTTCTTTACTCAGCTCTGCAATATGCGTAAACTTGGAGAAGCAGTTTAAAGGTCACATACTTGTGTATATCAGATGTGTAAGTCTACTGGTATGCAGTCCAACTCTCACAATAAATTCTGTGTGGCTAGGACTCTGCTGTAGAACCTCATTTCAGTCTTTACCACAAAGCCCTCTGAAATGTTAGGATTCATGTTTTGTGCTTCACGTTTTTGTTCTCACTAAACATATTTCAGTTAGTTCTAGTCCTGGGTTCTGAAATAAGGAATGTTGTGGAAGCAATAACCTGACATGATACAGCTATTTACATTTTGTGTAAACATGTCATATAGGAGTGCAGCAGTCCCCATGATCTGGAGTGTAGTTCTCTGAAACATCACTATCAAATCCCATGAGGTTTAGAAATAATATCTAAGGAAGGATCTAGAAATACAGGTGTCAGGAGACAGGCTTGGATTTGCTTCACTTTACAGTGTTTCAAAGACCCAAACATGGTTCCACTAGATCTATGCAGCAGTTACTTTCAGCCTCACCAGTTTTTCCATTAACTGGATTTATACATCATAGTTTGTATTACAGAAGTGCTTCAGCAAGTTAAGATTATTAAATTGTGCAATGCTTATTGTGCATTCTTGCTCTGGTCCGTACTATTCAGCCACAGTTCTGCTGAACAAGTCAAAAGGAGCAGAAGACCTATTTGTGCAACAGTGCTGCTGTGTAGATCCTCAATAAATTGACTAGGCTTCCATTTCAATCAAGCATTGTGCACACGTTGCAAAATATTATGTGGGACATCTTCTGAATCATCTTGCTGTCTGCCTCTTTATACAAAGACAACCAACTTATGACAGTACCAGCCTACTTAAAGATGACAAAGATTTGCAGATACTGAAAAATGCTGATTAATAACAACAATAAACAGTTGAATAGAGATTGGAATAGATCACCACTCAATTATGACAATGATAACAAGAACAACCAATAATCATAAAAGGCTGATATACTTCAACTGTGATCCCTTTCTCCCTTCCACAAGGCAATTTACTTGTACCACTGAAACTTTTGGCTGTGTGTGATCTGTGCAGGATGAGGCTCACAATCAAGCTGAAAATTAAATGAAATAAGTACTTTTGTGCTAAATCTGCCAAAATCAGAAATGTATATTCTGATTGCTAATGCATAATTATCGTATTAGACTTAATGGATGTGATTTTGGGACTCAAGAAAGCTGTTTAGGTGGGTTATGTTACAATAAATAAATATAATATTTTTGTATCTAGACACATACTATCTTCAGCATGCTAATTAGAAAATGGGTAATCATCTAATCATCTTCATAATCTGCTATTAAAAGGTAAGACAGGATATCTCAGCAGGAATTTTGTGTGATTTTGTGTGGGGCTTTTTCAAGTTTTCAGCATGATCTTTTTTTTGCAAATTTGTATGAGTATGACACACAGAATGAAAGAGCATTGAAAACAATTACTGTTTTACCACCAAGAGTCTCAACGGTTTTCCTTGCTATTATTCATAAACTTCTTTTCCTATTGCTTTGAAAATACCTCACTGAAGATACTGTTGAGTAACTAAAAGAGGGAGAAGGTTTTATTGACTCCACCAACACTTCACAAAGCGAGCATGTTAAGATATCAACATTAAACAAAATGAATAAACTGCTTTCACAACATTACCAACAAATCAAGTTTTCTGTGTTTCAGTATTATCTTGAATGAAACTTGGGAAAAAAAAAGTTTTTCAGTGTCCTGCGAGGTCAGCTACAGAATATGAAATACCATTCTCTGGAAGCAGGGAATGGATATTTCTTTCCATATCGTTTATTTATATTTGCCTACAACTGCATCCTTAATGAATACATCTACCAATAGCATTCAGAGGGGAGTCAAGGTGAAAGCAAACAGGAAATGAAACCACTCCATCTCTTTCAGTTTAAGGTCTAGGGAAATAATAATAACACATGAGCACTTACAGCTGCAGTACGATGGGCAAGATGAATGTAGGGTATTGCCTGGAGCAGTGAGACCAGTTGGAAAGAACTGATGCTCACAAAATGTATGACAACTTAGTAATTAAAAAAAAGAAATAAATATTTTAGGCAGTGCAAGACAATGAATAAGAGGTCTGAGAATACACAAAGGGTACAATGCAACTCCAAACAGAAACAGTTCTCTCATTGGGCACACACAGCACTTCATGTTGCAGATGCAGTGGTGGACAGGGTGGCATTCACCACCCCCAAATTGCCAGAAGTCCTTTCCCTCATTCACTTTCCATTCTTCATGCAGCCCCTTGTGACACACTGCTTTTTCATGATGTCAGTCTCATTTTCACCAACATCTCCCTGCTTCCTTCAGCTCACCTCTTTATCCAGAGTTACCTGCCAGCCTTGTACCTGCTGAATGGTTATTTAACTCGCTATCTCTAAAGTGTGGAATATGTAATTTAGCATTCCCACGATGCCTGGCACAACAGAGCTGTGCAGATTCACTGACAGCTCTCTCACATAGATGATATCATTGCAAAAAAAATTTTCATCCTCTGCAAAACAGGATGCTCAACTGAATGAAATGCAGAGGTGTATGGAGCAGAGAGCAGGTGTTCTGTTCACACTGAGAAAGAAATCAGTCTCAGTCTGGAGGGAAAGCTGAAGTCAGTAAGACTCTTAATTTGTTCCTTTGATACGTCCTATAATGTCCAAATTGAATTTGGAAGCTGTATTTTGTGTCCTTTGTAGCACTTATCCAGTACTTATCCAGCACTTATTTTTATAGGCTAAAAAATGGCCATCATTCAGGAATTTTAAAAAGAAGTCGCACATACAAGATTCAGTTTTCCCTTCCGCCTCCTCTCCTTTATGCCACTGTGCTACCCTACGATTACTGAAGTCCCTAAACACTTTTGGAATACTTCAGGCACAGGAGAGGCTGTCACTGAAGTACTGCCATGTGAGCTGTTCCTAAATTCTAGTAACCTCCCCTGCACCATCTGTCCGGCTGCAGCTAAGGGTGTTCTGGAGGGAAGGAGGAAGGAAGGGCACTGATGGGAAGACCTGCCTCAGTGCAGGAGCCACAAAGATTCCCCAGTAACAATCCCTGTGTGCAGACACCTCAGAAAACACCAAGAGTTCTTCGCACTGGAAAGTTAAATCATCCTGTATTACAGTTTATAGACACTTGGCAGTAGTCAGTACAGGTTAATGGAATACTTTCTATGCAAAACACTGTGATCCGAGAGCTAACAGGTGCAAAAATCTCATGCTTTGTGCCTAAAGCCAGAATGTTTATTTCTCAAATGTGATTCCACCCTGTCTTCTATGCTGGGACAATGGCATTAAGAAAGAACTACAGTGGATGTCCAACATCTACAGCAATCCAACCTCCTGCCAGAGAGAAGCTGTGCCAGTGTCATGCCTAGACAGCAGTAAGACAGGAAAGGTGATGTAGAAGGAAGATATTTCATCTTCATATGATGATATGATGAAGAGTGACTGTTTTCTGGGAAAAAGGTCAAAAGAAGCAGTGCCACTTTATTTGATCTGTGGTTTGCATTCATCCATTTTCTAATGAAGCCATTCTGCCTCTTTGGTGGGGATTCTGCATGCTGAACACCATCTAAGAAAAACAAACCTTCAAGTGCAGAGCTGAAGTAAAGGTCTTCAATTCTGTAGGCATCTTCAAAAAACAAACAAATAAAGTAACATATGCACATAAGCTTCCAGGCATTTTTGCATAACTTCAAGGATAGTCAGCTAGGAATATGTGTGAATGATAGAAAATGTTTAATTTCTCAGTTATCATTGGAAGAAAACTCTCATGGGGTATTTTATTTGCCTATCTCCAACACTTTATTAAAAAGAGACAGTGCTTAAGACACAAAGCAAACAGATAAGAAAATGTATTCTCCAACCTATCATCTTTTATTAAAAACAAAGAAAAGAGGACAATATCTGTGGCTAGAGAGAGATGCTTGTTTTAATGACTTTGGAAAGACTATGCACAAGTAATGGAAAAATTCCGTTTCCTTTGGGTTATTTAGGAAATGATAGCTATTCATCTGTGCATTTGCCAGTCCTATGATGAAGGGATTTAGAACCAGCATTGATTTTATGCTGGATAAAACAAAAAAGTATCTATCATAGAAATACAGAAGATAACACATCAGAATAAAGAATAATAGTTAATTAAGTCCGTTCCTCCCCCCAGTTCCTCTTTTTCAGATGCTGAGAGATTCTGTAATTACAAGTAACTGTGTAACTTATAGGAAAAAAAATCCATGAAGTTTGTGAACACTGTATTTCACCAAGTGCTATCTTCTGGACAAAATATCTTCCTGATGCTCTCTCCTTCTCTTCCTAAAAAACAATTTATCATCACCTGAGGTCACATCAAACACACAATGTCCATTATAAAGAATGTGCAGGCATCTGAAGTTTTTAATTCAGAAACTTGCACTCACAGGTGAGTCTCCCACGTGTATAGAGGGAAGAAAGGAGTGACCAGTTCGTAGACATTTGTTCTGTTTAATCTTCTTCACTTCACAATAAAAGATGAAAAGTGGAAATATTTTTTAAAGAAAAAGTTATTCACTAGAGTGACAAACTAAGGCATTCGTTTATTTCAAATTCTGGTAATCTTAAATAGCACCAATTAAAAAAACTGATCTAAAATCTGTTTTTCATTCATGATCATTTTTAGGCAAGAGACCACAGTCATTGCTTTTAAGAGAAAGTTGAAGTTTCCTGGACCAGAAAGTATTCCTCTCATCACATCTGCATTCCCATCTGGGCAGACAAGTTACAGAAGTGGCTAACACCATGCAACCATTGTACCAAAGGCAGCCCCAGTCCCAGAGAGCTTACAAGCTAAATTACATTCAATTAAACACATTTACAAGCAGTAATACATATGAAAAAAAGATTAAGCAATATGAGTTGCTGCCAGAAAACTCTAATGTTCTTTTTTCTTGCTGGGAAAAGAGCAGCTCTGTAGCCAAACTCTACTGGCACAGGTAACTGCTAGCACATCACAGAAACGCAGCTGAGTTCGCAGAAGTGCTTCCACCACTTTTCTTCACTGTTTTCAAAAGCTACAGAAAATCTGACCCATCTCCCCATGCATACAGCAGCTGCACTGAGAAGAATCATCATTACTAATTACATGTAATTACCTTATGCATAATTACGTCATTATACAATAAAAGCGGCTCCATTTGCCATTTCAAAAACACTCTTATTTTTCTTGCATTTCTTCTCCCTTTCCAGTGTTTCAATTCAAAAGCATCAGCAACTTCCCAACTCCTTCACCTTCCACCTTCTGGTTACGCGGGTTTCATCCTTTTCATTTCTTCAACAGAGATGAATGTAAAATACAAACTCTTTGAAAAGCTGAGAAAACCTCAGCATTCACCAGCCATGGGAAACCTATTTCTAGAACTAAAAGCTTATAAAACTAAGGGCAGCTTTTGTCCTAGATAAGTGCACAATTTCTACTTAAACTTCATTTATGTTGTGCAGCTGGATTTTTTGTGAAGCATTTAACACAGTGGAAGAAACGAATGCCTTGGCAACGTATGAATGTAGTAAGTGTTGTTCCCTGCTTCCAGGCAGAGTCAGACAAGTTTTGTAGAGTGTCAAAGCCTCTGGTTTCAAGAGGTTGCTTTCATGATGAATTTTGCTCCAGAGGAACCCAAACCATTGCTGCCCAGCAGCATTAAAGGATCACTGGTCACTTTATTAGTAGAAAATAAACACCAGCTTTCAAATAATGCAAGACAATGGATTTCTAGTGATTTATAGCCCATTTGAATAATTTTAATTGGACCTTGCTAATTCCTAAGCAGTGGAGCACTGAGAATTACTTCAACAATAATCTAGTTAGAAAAATGGCCCAAGGTGGAACCAAACCGTTAAAATTATACTCCTTCTGGAAATACTTTGCCAGATGCTTAGAAAATAATGCCCATACACAGCTTAATCTCTGGTTATTAGCTGTGCATTTTTCATACATATTATCTTTAAAGAAAAAAACATTCCTGCAGTGACTCTTCAGGTACATTGAGTCTTGATGTGCAAGTGCTGGAATCACACATCTAAGTTCTATAACAAGATACTTTTTCTGAGAAAGCATCACATTGACCACACTTAGGATCAGCTCCTACCCATCTGGGCCTAAACACCTTGATGTAATACAGCTTCATAACTAGTCCCCAAAGACTGCTGTAAGGTCAGCTGGAATAAGAGCTTAAAGAAAGTCATTTACATCAAAGTACACATACATTGTCTTTCTCTGACTTTACCAAAGGAAGAATATGTGCCTGGAAAATCACTGCAGGCTTTTGAGTGAGACAGCAGAGCAGCCTATGCACAGTGCCTTAAGGAGCCATATTCATAGGGTATGGCTCCCGTTCAGCCATATCAAAAACATGAGCAGAGGATTTTATGTCTGTACCCACCCAGTCACACTGCCATGCTCTGATCTCAAATGTCCACATCTCACTTTGAAAATCTTCAAAATCACTTAGACTTTTACGTACATAGACCTTAAGTACATGGAGAGGAGAGAGAAATGTTTTTTTATTTCCTCTGATTCATGTCAGATCATACTGATAGAAAACACACAAATAGACTTTCTTAAATGCAATCACAACTACAGGGGACACAAAAAAAAACACGTCAAGCAAGGTGGTCTCTAACACTGAAACATGTAATCATGAGGGTAATTTAGGAGATAAAAGAGATGGTAAGGAGTTAAAAGCCTTTAAATTTTCTGTGCATTTGAAGGGCGTGGCAATCATAACTTATTTCTATCAATAACTTAACATGTATATTCTGTGATTAATTAAAGGCAAAACTCCTAGATTCCTGCAGACAATAGTCTGGAGCACAACTTCATCTCAGAGACCACAAACTGGTGGTTCATAGTGTCAGTGTGGATAACGGCAGAAATAACTATTGACTTGGAAGATACTAAAAGCTGCAATTACTTCTTCATTTATTCTCATCGCCACGAGGTCACCCAGAAACCAAGAAATACTGTATTCTATACCAGAAAGATGAGCTGAGATGCCACAAAGGGATAAAGTTTCTCATTTGCACAAAGAACACCTGGCAGAGAAGCTGGAAGCCAACAGAAACCCAGCTTTGTTCTCTGTGGTGCAAGCATAAGCCTGCAATCACTAAACTGAGCAATTGGTATAATCCTACTTTTACATCAAGGTAGCAACCTTCCATTCTGAGGGAAAAAAACAAACTAGCTACTGAGGAATATCCCACCTCTCAGCTCTGCCAAATCCTGCCATCACAATGGAAAAGATTCCATGAGCCAGGGCTGACTGGAACATTCCTCTGCCTCTGCTCATGTCTGTCTGGTTTTCTTCAACAAACAGTTGAAATGCTGCTCTCCCCATGTGCTCATCACCCCAAATCAAGTCTAGCATATTATCTAGGATCATTTCTCACTGTCCCCAGACATTATTACCTATTTCCTTACAGGACAACAACCAGAGTTGAAACTAATCCCTTCCCAGATAGCAGCAGGCAGTGCAATCATTATTTCCACAATCCTTGCATGAGGCACTAATCTCATCCTTCTCGTGCTGTTTCATCACCACTCAGTGTTGGCCAGTGTCCTCCCAAATGGCAATGCACAAGTGCTCAAAACGCCTTTGTGCCTGAGAAGAAGGACAAAAATTTTAACAGTGATGGGATACTGAATATGGGAAATTCCTCCTCTAAGTGCCTAATTCCTATCCATCTCCAAACTAAGTACAGCTTATTAAGTAGACAAACCAAAATACCTCTTCCCCACTGAAAGAAATAACAAAACAACTCCCCAAAAATAGTGAGAGAAGAGAATTGAACCTCTAACTAAATGCACTACATCGGCATTCTGACAGCTGTGGCCTTTTTCCAGGAATGCCAGCAAAAGCATTATTTTGGCTAAAAGATTCTGTTCACCTTCAGCCGAAACTGTTAAGCATCACTGAAAGAGACAGCTCAGCTCAGCATCACTGTGTTTACTTGTAATCACCACTCCTGAGGCTTCACTGTATCTCCCATTCCGTTGGCTTGTAAACATTTCAAATGTTATGTCCTTGAGTAACAATTTTCTGCTTTTCCATTTCTTCCCTCAAGTGGTCTAAAGGTTTTCACAGCATTAATTTTTCAGAGACTTAGCTGCAAATCCTCACTGATATTGTTTGAGGAGAAAAGTCAAAATTAGAGTAAAAATTCAACTCATATTATATCTATCTTTCCTGGCAAACATGGTAAAGAGGATAGTACACCGAGCAAGGAATCTTGTTATCCAGAATATTCCCTATATGAAGAAATCTTATATGTATCCATAAGGGAAGCACTATGCATGCCTAATATATTTTCTCACTTATAAGTGTGGCTGGGTTTGGTTTTTGTGTCCAAATTTATACCAAGTCAAATCTCATCATTACTACTAAAGATATGTATTTTCATCTTCTAAAAAGTAATCAGTTCAATAATCTCATTATTAAATTCTACATATATGTACAAAAAAAAATCAAAGTCTTAAAAATAAGCAGTTTGAATTATTCTGGGGATTTATCAAGGCTGCTACTCTGCCATATGGTTAAAACTTGCACCTCATATAATGGACTTAGTGGAATTCAGCCCTACCAGGAACCATTCAAGCATTTAGACAAGGGCAGCCTCCTCAAGTCAAAGTGTCAGACTCACCAACACATTCTTTGTGGAATTCAGTGGGGCCAATCCTGACAACTGGTGGTGCACGTTTTTTTGAACATGAGAGAAACAGAACTGAGATAACAACATTTCTTCAGGGCTCCCCAGATCTATTGTATAGCCTCTGTACCAGGAGTAATCTGGGCTCTATTGAGGCTTGGTAACATTAATGAAAGTTTTCAGAAATGCCAAGCTAAATTTTTGTTAAATGTGTGAAACACTGGAAATCAATAGGTTCATACGTCCCATTAACTAGTAATTCATTTGACTCCAAAACTGCAAACAAAAATAATTCCATTGCTAATCTTTAAAAATGTCTTCATTGGAGAAAACCTGCATTTATTCCCAATGTTTTTTAAAGACTGTTTTATGATATCTGTACTCATCATGACTACAATGCCTCATTATATGATAATACCTGTTCCTATTCATTATGAAAATCTAATTAAGAAGAATAAAGAAGAAAAACATTGCTTACACCTTCCAAAACCCTGGAAAACAGCTCCTCAGAAAGCCTATCTGTGCTGGTCTTGCAGGAATCTCACCACAGAGAAATGCAAGCTTCAAGACAAAACAGGCATCAGGTGAGATGGAGTCTCCAGTTCCTGTGCCTCTGTAAGCTCTACGTACCATGAAGTTGAACAGAACATTGTTGTATGCTATTCTATTACATTCTTACATGGTAATACCTTCCTAAATTGTTTCCTTTAGCACATTTATCAGATACTTTCTTGAATTAATGAAGCTTTGGTAGAGACAATTTCTCTTGACAATAACAACTACACCCTGCCAATAGGTCTGTGGAATTATACTGTCACTTGCTCAGTTACCAAAAGATTTTCATTCTATTTTTGAAAAAACTTTTGTCTTTAGACACTGAGCTTTCAATTTTGGCAGCAGCAAGGCTCTTTTTTTGCCATAGTGCTATTCCTCTGCTACCTAATGGAATATTGATTGTTTGAAGCAAGTGTAAAGCAATCAATACATGAAAAAGAGGAGAAACAGGTAAGAGAAACCATCTCCTCATTCCTTCATACGTAACTGGGACATAGAGAAGTGCACTGAAGCCAACAAGCCAGAAATTTTGGGATTCTAAAAATTTTGTACGGGGTTCTCACTACAAGGCAAAGCTTTGTCACATCGTGTTTGACATGACACGGGGATACCTTGGTATAACAGTTTATGTACAGTGGACTTGCAAGCTTATGCTGCCAGACAGTGGGACTGAGTGAACAGAGCAAATACAGTTTAAACTACAGTGCAATTTTTCTGGTAAGCATCCACAAGTTTCTTTTTATTTGTTTTTTAAATAAAAATAAAGGAGAATGCAGAGTACAACCAACCAGAAGTCTGCAGGTACCTCTCTCAGTATCCAGAAACAGCCTCCAGCAGGTGCCAGCTAGAGGTGGGACAAATTTGGCTACATCAATTTTTACCCTTCTGTAGTCACTTGAATTAAATCAAGAATCTATCTTCACTCTGTTTCTCAAGGGAAGGTTTAAAGTTACATGGCATTTTCATGAGGTATCTACCAACAAAAGAGGCAAGCACCAGGCTGCAAGGATGGCTGAGTGCTGAGCAAAACACTTGCTATGCAAGAAGAGGCCGCAGGGACTGAGTTGGTTCACCCAAGAGAAAGCTTTGGAGCAACTATTATCACCGTGTATAATGTCCAAAAGGGGAAATGGATAGAGAAGATAAAGCCAGAGATTTCTCAGAAATATGCAGATAATGAAGAGGCAATGGCCACAAGATGCAACAAAGGAAGTTGCACCTGAACATAATGAAAGCATTTATCACAGTAAGCATGTTTAAGCACTGAGACTGACTGCGAAGAAACGCTGTGAAATCTCCATTCTTTTTAACATTGAGAAGTTTACTGAAGTACTGAGACACCCAGACCAATAATGAAATTATCACAGAATCCTCAGAGTTGGAAGGGACTTATAAAGGCCACCTAGTCTAGCTCCCCTGCAATGAATAGGGCCAGCACAGCTAGGTCAGGTCTCTTAATGAGTGACCTATGTAGCCCTTCCTTATATACTTCTAGCCTTGACTTATTTTCAGCAATTTCTTGTCAGTGCAGCCAATCACATCAGAGCTGCTACATTAATATTCTCCTTCTTTCCCTTCTAGAGAACTACCACTAAAAATCCCACACACAACAAATTTCTGCAAACATTGACAAAGTCATCATCTAACATTACAGGTGGGTACAGAGTAGCTGGAGTCCAAGTTGTTCCATTAAGTAAATACTAAACATGTCTTTTTCCAAATTTATAACTTGAGTTAATGTCTCACGTGTTCCTGTCATTTCTCCTTACCTCAGAATTCATGCCCTTTTCTCTGGGGCCTAGGCGTTGCAGCCGTTCTTCCACATAGTTCCGTGAAATCTGTTGAGTGGCGGAAATAATTGAGCTTAATTTGATGTAGTCTGGATGCAACATGCAGAGACAACAGTCCCTAAAGTGGTATTTGGCATCTCAGGGCAATGCTTTGTTTTTCTGAGCATTGCTCTGACAGTGTGTGCCCTTACATAGCCTAATCAGACTATAGAGTGCCAGCGAAAAGGCAAATCCATAGCAGAATCATGGCATTCTTTAAACTGCTGGAAGTCTTGTGTGTGTTTGCACAGTCATCCTAGACCACCGAGAATCAAAGCTGTGCCAACACAAGGTATATGCCCCCAGGTGTCCAGAAACACCAGGGCTCTGACACCTGATTTACAGTCAGTGATGACAGGGAGTTGTCAGGATTTCAACTTATTTTCAGGTGTGCCACAAAAACAATCCCTGAATCCCTGTTCTAAGTTGAAGCTGGAATTACCATCTAATGATAAAATACATTTAAATTTCCATCACCATAGACTATTCCCATTGAATTTTCTTATCTTATTCATTACTTGATTTCCCTCCCCCTAAAAGCAGGTTAATAAAAAGCCTTTGATTGGTAGGGTGAATCATCATCCCGTGCAGATGCAAGTTCTTGGAACAGACATACGGTTTTGAGTAAGCCGCAGGTGGTGAAAACGCGGATCTGGGAGCACATGGAGACTTCCCTTCTCCTCCTAAACAACAGAGTCAGGGTGCCCTAGATGGAGTCTTACAGGATCATGGAAAGAATGGAGGAAACTGATAAAAGGTAGACAACAAATGTGAGAGAAAAAAAGTGAAAATATGTTTAAACAAGAGGTAGAAAAAAAAGAGTAATTTATGTGTAATAGCTGATATACATTTATATTACAAGATTAAGCCCTTGAACATTTGTGTAGGAGTCCAAGAATATTTAGAACAACTCCTGTTGTTCAGCTCTAAACACAGCTGGTGGTTACAGCATTAAAGACCACCTTTCATTTATCTTGACTGAGAGGCCCTTAGCACTTAAAAAATAATAATACAAGCCTCCATTTTCTTATCAAATATGAAAGGAAGAACACAAATAGCAACTTTACCCATGTCATTAAGCTTTGCTGTAGGAGGGCCTCTCCTAAGCAGGTTAAAAACATCCTGGCTTATCAACTAACATTTCTGATTGCAACACACCTGGGATCCTGGGACAATGTTGGTCACTAAAGAGAAGAAAGCCACCTCTGCTGGGCCTTCACAAACAGTGACATTTTCCTGATTTACCTATTTATATATGGTTGACTCAAGTAAAACAACCAAATATTCCGCAGTAAGAAATTATAGTAATTAATATCTTTCTAAATGTTTTAGTTCCACTGCATACCAAGACACACAATCAAGTTAAAATGAACCCCAGTCCATCCTTATGTCTGTCTTCTTCCTGTCCATGTTGGCCAGAGGAGCACAGAGTTTATCCCCATGTATAAACTGAGGTCATTTCTCTGCTTGATCAGGCTAGTGACAGTATGCATCTCTGCATTGAAAATGCATTGAATGAGCCAAAGATGGCTCATTCAGGACTGTGTGCATTTCCTGGTAGTCCTTGGTTCCCTTGGATTCCTAAATGAACACAATCTCCATTAAGTTTTTACAAGTTTGTAAATTCAACTAGAGAATTTAGATATCTTCCCCTCTCCCCATTTTCTTTGCATGCTTACCATGCCTAGAATTTATCAAGGTAATGACCACTTGACTAAAATTTGACCAAAATTCAACGCACACAATGCAGACACAGTAAACAACTGTATACACAGGATAATGTAAATAGACAGGATTTCCCAATTTGAGTTCAAATCATGTACTACATAATTCAGATGGCTCTTCAGAATAATAAAAAAAAAATTACACTTCTTGTAAGCACTCCTAACCTAATGCTGAAGTAATGGACTTTTCCTTCCGATGGCTTATTCTGCTTTACCCCTTTTTAAGTGCTACCAGAATCCATGTACATCTAATACCTCGAATCTCTAAGCCCAAAGCTCTAGGCCAATGACAAGAAGCTGAATCCATAACCCTTCCTGCACAGAAAAGCATAACAACAAAACAAAAAGCAAACCAAAAGTAACACCTAGTCTATGATCAGCCACTTAAATATGTTCTCTCCATTTCTTTCTGCTCACTGTCCCAATATTCCATAATTCCATAATATGGCAGTTTATGCCGTACTCATAAACCAGATGAGAGATCATTCAAATATTCTTTAGCTGAACAATTTACAAAGTAAGATCTAGGAACGAGATCACCTTATCACCATCTTTTCAGAAGATGATGAGTTTAGGACTTGATGAAATTAATTCCTGATTATTTGCTTCTAATCAGGCAACTGCAAATCATCACAATTTCTTCTGTTCTCCAGGGTATTTTCAACACAGCAAATATGATTTTAAAATTCTTTGATCACACGAGGCAGCACTGTCTGTTTCAAATTGCCTTTTAATGACTGTATCAGTGATTGGGATTAAACTAAAGGAGATGCAAAAAAGGCAAAAGAGAAAAAATTCTACAAGGCAATTGTCTTGGGATTCTATCTTGATATCAGTTTATGCATGCCAAATTTTTATCTCAGGCTTTCATAGAAATAAGAACCATCTGATGAAGAAGCAAAGAAAACAATTCAAAAACAATTAGGAAATAGATGATACAAAGCAAGCAGAATGAATACTTTCCAGTAATGGAAACGTTGGCAAGTACTGTAAGCAGTGCACACAGTCTTCATGCAGGAAAGCAGAGACATATAGTTGATTTTCATTTCAACCTCATTTGAGACTGGAGCATGTGATTCACTGCTCCATTTAGTTCAAAATTAAAATTAAGCATGTGCTTAAGTACTTTCTTGGACTGAGGCCACATACAAGAGTTACACTGGCTGTGAATTGCAATGGCCACAAGTTGATTCAGAAAGGAAAAGTCAAAGCTTTAAGATGAAATAATTGAGGGTTTTTTGATTGTTAAAGTAAGAATGCATTGGTAACAGGGAAAGCTGTAGCAGTTGCAACAACATAGGAACTGCTGCCCATCACAGCAAGGCTTCAAGTGGACACTGCAGTCAGGCAAGGCTTTTTTCTTTTAATCATCTTGCCTCTCTCCCACTCTCTTTCAGTCTAACAAGATCAACCTACAGCCTTGCATATTTTATTAATGTTACAGCAGTTCAGGCTGCGCCGTGTAATGATTTGGTATTGTTCAATGCACAGGAAGCAGCTGAGCTTAGAATGATGCAGAAGCATCACACCTTTCTCAGAAGACAACTTCATTCCTCAGGAAAGAAAAGAGAGTGTCTGTGATTGATACTGAGGAATCAGAACTGCTAGAGATAGTATCATCAGGTCAGTTGGGGCCTTCCCCATTTCAGCATCCATCTCCTCTTTTCAGTTCTACACTTCACACTAATTGAGCCCAGAAGATTCTGGCCTGACAGGGCTATTGGAGCCTAGAAGTATTAAACTGGAGAATTATGATGTTGATATGTTGTTAAGTGCCTGACTATAGTCCCAGAGAGGAAATGTTCCAATGAAAACAGTTAAAGAAAAGAAATTAAGAAGAAACTTGGCAAAAGAGAAGCCTACCTGAAAGAAAAATTAAATTTCCTTTCTCTTTATGGACCATCACTTTGTCACTGAACCTGTATAATAAAGTATGTCTCTGGAGTTACCTGTGTTACTGAACTCTTCTATCACCTCAGCTACCTATGTGACTGCTTGCCTTAAACTCATCAGCCTTCTTCCACAACATAATCCAAACAAACTGCAAATCAGAATTACCTACATGTTTTTACATGCATTTGACTGCAAAATGGGATACACTTTTGCATTTTGCCAAACAGAGATTTACAGAAACAGCTGAAAGCTTTCCTGGAAACTGGTCTGTAATGCCCATGGGTGGTGCACCTTCTTAAAGCCAGACACCATGTACTGTTACACTCCCTGCAACACTCTGAAAGTCCTTATTCCCTCCTCTTTGTTCAAAGAAGTACAGGAGGACACCGTCAGCCTTGCTGCAGCATCAGCACCTCCATCTGTAAGGAGCAGGCTTTGATCACACCAACTTTTCTCAAGGCTCACTCTTCACAGAACAACTGATCATCCATCAGTCGTTTCACACACGTTCAGGGGAAGCTGTGTGTCAGAGGATCGCAGGTTTGAATTCGTATCTTTGTTTGTCCAAGGGCAGAGGAAATGGCAGGAAGACTTGGTTCATCTTGCATCCTCACCCCATGCTGATGTGTGCTGCTCCATCAGGCTACCTCTGTATCCCAAGCTGTCTCTGGCTACACTCCAACCTTGTCCTGCATCTGCTCTCAATGGTAACAGAAATCTGTGACTTTCACAAAGAGCTTGTACTGGTAGCTCTGTTAGCAAAGTTATGCTGAAAGATTTCACTCTGTACGTATTGTAAAGAAGATATGGGTGAGAGAACTGAGCTTAGCTTAAAAGAATGACAATTTGCTTGTGAACTTGCAGCATTTGTTTTTGAAGAGCACCGTCCAGAAATTTGCCAGGTTTTGTTTACTATTACTGTGAGGTCAGCCATTATCAACTGGAGGATAGTATTTGGGTTGGTCCAGTGGAAGGTGACCCTGCCATAGCAGGGGTGTTGGAACTAGGTGATCTTAAAGGTCCTTTCCAACCCAAACCATTCTATGATTCTGTGCATCTTTGAATAGAAGATTTGCAAATCAGGAAATGCCACGATAAAAGTACAAGCATCATTTAATACCAGTGCCTTACTACTATTGGCATCCTTATGGCTTCAGTCATTTAACTACTTAGCCTTTAAGTAGCTCTCACTTTGAGAACATCCTCTGAAGCACTGCACTGCACAGCCTGGTGAGGGACAGGATCTGCCCGGGCAGGAAGCAGCTACACAAAGATTTGGGACTGAAGTCCTGTTTCTGCTCATTTAATATACCAGTTGGAGTACTAACATAGGAAAATAAAGCCCATCTTGCCCCTTTGTCTTCCACACTCATACAACATCATAAGTGAGATGAAATTATAGGTTAAAAACTCTCTTTAAAGGCCAGTCAGATTCCTGCTGTAATGGTTACTATACACAGTTGCAGAGCCCTGATGTTGGCAGACACATAGGAAGAAAAAAGTCTTGTTTACAGAAATCAGCTGGATTTCCTTATCAATACGGAAACTGTAGGGTGGCTCTTTGTTAGCATTTACTGTCTCACATTTTCTCTTTGAACAGCTTGCAGAGCATCTATTGAAAAAGATAACTGCTGAAAGCTGTACATAACTAAACACCAGGGCTGTAAAGAACAGCAAATGTGGATTCTTTTTTAATGAGTTTCCTTCACAAGTCTTTGTGCTACTGTGCATCTGTTGGTGGACTATGCAGTGAGGTACCAGCTATGCATATAAATGGACAGGCAGAAAATCTGCTTGGGAATTTGTTTTGATGCTTTCTCCCTTCCTCTATAGAAGAAGGAGATGTTTTCCAAAAAATGGAGAAAATGTTACTGCATTTCTGTGCAAGCATCTCTTCTGCTCCAGAATAGGGTTTTTTTGTTAGGTTTTTTTTTTCCTTTTTAATCACAATAAGGGCAGAAAAGACAGGACAATAAGCAGGAATCTCATGCAACTGGCCTGACCCACAGCTTCAGTTGTTTTTGTTAAGCTGTCTTTCTTCAAAGGTTTGTTAGGCCACAAAGTGGTTGAATCTATGTTTGGTATTCAGGACACTTATTTGTCAAGAGAGCTTTAAAACTCACCTCAAGGATCTTGGTGTGAGCAAAAGACTCCAAAAGCCAAGCAAAAGCTGCCAGCTAGTGGCTACTGAGTGAAGGTTTGCCTTTTGGCTCTATAACCTGGAAGTTCTGGAAATTCTAGAAAAGACTCGCTTTTATCGATTGAAAACTTACTTTCGAAATTCTTATTTTTGTCTGCGTTTTTTGTTTTGTTTTTTAGGACACACTTTTCCTTCATGAAAAATTCTCAAAGTTCTTGCCGGTCCTAAAATTAGACATCTCAGCTGGACAGAAGATAACAAGGTTTTCTTACTTCAGTAGACACTTATCATTGGAGGGAAATGATTTCAGATGTGCTCCTTGGGAAATATTTGCCTGGTTAAAACCTTGAATGTTTTATAAGATGTTTTCCAGTTAGTACATCTCTCCTGTACAGCATAACCCAGCCACTGCCTCTTTCTCCAGACAACCGCATTTATCTGCTTCCTTTTTCTATGGTCCGCCTCTCATCAGCGCCATTTCTTCAGAGCACTTCGACATACGGACAAGCAAAAGCCCATAAAAGCTTTTCAAGCCTTGACTTGCTGTGTGAGGAGTGTTGAAGTGCAGGATAGAATCTGATCTCCAAAAATGTCTCTTTGTACTAACTTTGTTAGCTCATATAGTTCCAGACTATCTTCAGATGCACCCGCTGAGATCCCAAGGAAGCACCGAGGACTTTTTCAACTTCCAGGCATTGCTCTAAGAACTTAATGAACTGGAAAAAATTTATCCACTAATGACAAGCCACTGGTTTTTAATCCCTTTTCATCAAATATGAAACATTCATGAGAAAATTGTATGAGAAACAGATTTTTTAAAATAATGTTTGACTCGTAGCAGCATCTCAAGGATGGAAACTGAGTCTTGTATAGTCCAGGTGCTATTGTGAATGTATATAGGAACAACATGTTAGTGCACAAAGTAGGAAACAAAAGGCATGAGGGATATGTCCCTTGGCAGTTTCATCCCTTTTTATAGACTGTCCTTTCTATTTTGGGGACTGGCTGGGCTGGTCACCAGGGGAGATAAATCACCACAGTCTGCAGGGTTGTTAAAGGCATGCTCTTGTTTTAAGCTTGCTTTCTCAACTCCATAATCCACCACGTTTCTGCTTTGGTACACTCCTTTCTGAGACACTAGCCTTACTTTTCTTGCCTTGAACAATAACATGACTGAGCTGTTAATGTTTGCAAAGACCTGACAAGGTGGGGTCTGAGGAAGGAAACACTGAACTGGGAATAAATATCAACAAAGTCCAACTCTTCTAATCTGCAATTTCTCTTGCAAATGATTGACCTCTTAGGTCTCTATAGCATTATCTAACTTAAATGCTTTGTGATTGGGACACATTAATTAACGTTCAACACAGACCCAGAAAACATAATTACATAGGTAGTCTAAGTCCCATTTAAAGTTAGGCCACTGGCAGAGAAACACTGGAGAAAAGGAAACAAATGACATATAAAATAATGCTGTGGGCAAAGCAAACTTGAACAAGCTGAAAAGAGAGAAAGGAGAAGATCATTATCTAAATGGAACAAAACGACCACTCTCAGCTTGATCTAAAGCTCAATGAAGTGAATGGAAATATCTCCATGGACTTCTGTGAGTTCTGCATTAAGCTTTCAAACATTATGAATAGGAATACTAAAGGTTTTTTGTGTGCGTGTTTTTGTTTGTTGGTTGGTGGTTGTTTTGTTGTTATTGTTGTTTGTTTGTTTATCATTTCATACAATTTAGCTCTGCGGTGGAAATGTCATGAAGCAGCAGCTCCTCTTCCCTGTCATTTCCTCCCTGGCCTTCCAACAGCACCACTGGTCAGGTAAGATACAGTCTTTAAAATGAACCAGGACCTATGATCACTTTGTCAAATAGCTTAAAGCAGACTTAGAACAGTGGATGCTTTCAGAAAGGATGTTTACCAGTTCCTCAGACAGGCTGGACTGCCCATGACCACCATCTCAGTGGCATTTCATATTCAATACCTTGGAAATTGTCTGACATTAAAATCTCATGAGAAACCAAAAGTCTTTTAAATGAAGTGATAGTAGAGAGATACTTTTCTAGGTACATACTAGAAATATACACTTTCTGCTTTGACACATCAGAGAAATTGGCTGACTTGATGAAATTATAATGTAGACACCATACTGGGACGCGTAAATAGAATCTTGATTCTCCTTTGGATAAAACAGGTCACCTACAATGGTTTTGCCCAATCACAGTATTGAAATCGAGGGAGCATGGCCCCATTTGTGTCTCTGCAAAGCTCCATAAATTTGCTAATTCTTGACAAGAAACAAGTGAGCCATTTTCAGAACAGGCTACCATAGACAGGTTCACCTAGACCATCCACCTGGTACTCCCATGCTACAAGCACTTATTTACTTCCACAGCTGGCTACGTGGCACTTTACAGTGAAAAAAATGTATGTGTTGCTGTAGAAACATTTACAGCAGGAACAATTGATCTATAGGGAAGTAAAAACACTTTAAAATAGTTCTAATTACATGCAGCCCTGTCATGTTGTTAAATGAGGCCTGCTGCTATTTTATGAATAATTTGCAGAATCCATTGTAAGTAAATTATATTAGGAATTGGGAATAGGCTCTGGACTGCAATGCAGCAGACTTTTCTTTCCCTCCTGCCTTCTTATAATACATTCAGAGTATTTGTTATAGCTACAGAACATAATTGCAATTATACTCAAAGACAAGGAACTATAACGTACAAACAACAGTGTTTCATTTCCCACCAGATTCTGACTTAAGTAATACAAGAAGCTGTGTTAGCAGGAAAAGAGACTCTTTCCAATCAATGAACCAAACAAAATGCTTTGCCTGCATATGGCTGTAAGTTGCAATTGCAAATTTCCTTTTAACCTTTTTAGGTTGGTGCCATGAAGCCCCAAAATATTTCTTTTCCTCTTGAAAGGAATGAAGAATCCAGTATCACGCTATCTGTAACATATTCTGGAATTTATGCCTCCCAGAATTTGGCACAACCACAGAGCAGAATCCCAATTAAAATATGAAAATATTGAATGTTCCATGCTCTGCCCAGCGTTGTCTTTCAGAGCCCTATACCAGAAGGGCTCCTTCCTGTTACGCTAATCCTTCTCACTCCTGCAGATCACTCCAGTTTGTCCCCTCATCTAAGCCAAATCTTGGTTCTCAAAGACAAAACCAAGTTGCTTATACATTTTCTCCATGCCAATGCAGAGAAAATAAGGATTCCCCCTTTCTCTCTTAAACAACTGCACCAAAACACACATAAGTCCTTTAAATGAATTCAATAGAGTGGTCTTCCTCTGTTTCTATACCATAAAATTTGGCTATGAACTTTAATAAACGTAGTTTTATTCTATTTAAGACTAGGAAGGCTGTGATAAACACATAACGTGGCTGCCCGTTTAAGGCTTGTTCACAGGTTGGACAAAATGTAGTCATCAAAACTAAAGAATATTCTTGTTTTTATGGTATGGTTCAGAAAACCTAGAAATTGATCATAGCATTACCCGTACTTGGCTGCTGCTATCTTCACAATTCCTGCAGTCATAATCAATATTCATTTTAACTGCATAGGTCTTTAAACATACCTACATTGTCAACATTAATGTAAATTTAACATAGCTTTAGTCAAGTTCCATAGTCTTCCCACATGCTAAATTCAATGGGCATCTCTGGGTAGATCACTTCATCCACAACATTGTTTCTGCAATTAGAACACCACCTCTTATATAAGACACACATGTCTAGTGAGAATTGAAGGACAAACATGGTATAACAGCAGATATTATGACAACTGCCCTCCACTTATGCAAACATCTTTCAACAACCTGGAAGCTGAGTGTAAGCTTTGTGACAATCAGTTCCTCCTCTAAGATCACAGATAGCATCACATTCTTTCACACCCATTTTTATCTTTGTTATTATTCATTTTGAAACCTGTACAGGGATAAGGAGCAGATTTCTACTTACATGACAATATCTACTTGACTTCAGAACCAGCTTTGCATTTTCAGTGGTGTGTCTGCTTAGCAGCTCATCTTGTTTCTGCTGGGGAACTCATTACGATGCCTGCAGTGTAGTCAATTACCTGGGAATATTCTGATCACCTGCTGCTGCTTTCTTTGATTGCCAGTGGCCTGGCTGCTCTGGTCCATCAGCACAGCTCCAATGCATTTTCCAGGCTGTTATTCTCAGAGATGTATTTTTCTCCTGTGAAGAGAATTCAGATTAAAACAGGCAATTCTTTATGCATAAAATTCTCTGTGAAGATGCATAACAAAAATTGTGGCTTTTATATGATTAATAGAGCTGTCAGGACCTATTTGAGATTTAACTTCCCTGTTGTGAAAGTTTAACTTACTGGTTACAGAATAAATCTACACAGTGTACAATTTTATGGCAGCTGAGAACAGTGTTGAAGTCATTTGGATGCATAAGAGCTGAAGCAAAACATGGCCATAAGGTGTCTTCACTATTTGAAAACATCATTAAAAATCAAAGTATTCAATACAATGTCAATACAACCACTGTGCACTGGTGCTGTGCAACAGCCCAAAGGACTTCGTTGCCTTCCTGCAGGAGGTCTCTCACTAGCAGAGGGTGAACCAACAAATCCACATCTTCCTCAGCCGATCCCTGCCCTGACCCAACATTTGGCTATGGGCTATCTTAAAACACAGCAATTGTCCCAGTGAAACAAGACTGAAGTGCACACACACAAAATCCCATGCAAGAAGCACTTACTGCCTGTTTTCTTCTGATTGCTGCAGTGTCTGCGGCAGTAGTGTCCAACACCAGTAAGAATTCATCCAATCTAAACTCCAGCCAGTAATTTTTAGATCACTCAAAGGCCTGTTCTGCCTTTTTTTCTGTCCTAAGCAGGCTGCTGTGCCCGCAGGTACTCTGTGAGTCATCACACTGTACAATGCTTGCAGGCTACTGTTTATTATTAGTTTTACCTAAATTTCAAATCATACTTTCAAATTCAAAATTGAGAGGTATGGTAAATACGCAGTTCTACTAAGGGAGTTACTATGCACAGTTTGGAGTAGCCTTTCTGGCACAGTGGGCAGCTTTTTGCTGTGTTGCTAGAGCCAGGAGCTTTCCAGGCTTTCACATAAAACATAAAAATATAAGTTAAACATTTAACTTTAACACAGAGGTGTTAGAAATGCCTGCAGAAGTAAGACTCGGATAATTGAAACTGCATAATAACATTCAGCTTAATGAAATGTTGATGTTGTAACAATAGAAAAACATTGCAGAGCACTCATATGACAACACGGAATAATCTGATAGTATAGCACTAAAAAACATCCAGTTGATTAGAGGCCAGGAAGCAATTCCCTTGGAAACAAATTCCATGCTCAGTAGGCTGTCTGTGCTGCTGGATAATGAAGCAGCTCCATGAACAACTCGCAGAACAACAACACAGCAATGAGTTTTAAATATTTCTGCCAGGCACAAAAGCAGGCAGCAATACCCAGTATAACCCACACCCTGAGACTGTGTCCCCACTTTGTACACACTTCTCAAACTGTTTAGGAGATGAGAACGCCAAAAACAAGTCATGCCAGAGCACAAAAATCAGCAGTGTTTGTACCATGTGCTGCAGTACAACCCCAGTCCCAAACACAGATCGGATCCCTCTAAGCATTCTAGGCACTGTGCCTTTACTCCTGTCCACTTATCAGCTGAGCTGAGGACGAGGGGAGGCAGGAGGGCAGAGATGAAGCTACACACAGCAGCAGTGCTCAGGGGCAGGTCAGCTGTGCTGCGCCCCTACCCTCTCTGCAGCATCCACTGCTCCCCATCATTAACAGCATGGCAGGCAGAGCAAGCATGGAATAAGTTACATTAGAGTGGAAACGACATGATTTTCCCATTCATTTACATAACAAAAACTTTTGAATGTCTCAATTCCTCATCTCTTTCTCTTCTGCCATGAACCAAGCACTAGTAGTTACCATGATATGAAGCTGACCTTAAAGAGCTGTGAAGCCTTGTAGCTATGATCCAAGACAGGAAAACTCAGCCTAGTCATTTATTTACATCAGCCTACTGGGCAAACCTCCTGCTAGGATAACAACAGAAAATCTGGAGGGAGGATTGACTCTCACACAGCCAAGACCTGAGCAAGATCAGCCTACAGAGAAACACAGACCAACTGAAACAAAGCACGTAAGATAAGTTAGTCCCTGCATATTGGCCTTATTAGCATGCAGACACGTATTCTCTCAGACAGGTACTTTATACAGAGGTTCATTATCTTACACCATGCTCATAACTCATTCTACTTTTGACTCTGTAGAAACACCTGCTCAGTATTGATTCTAAAGCAGATGTGAAAAGTATGCAGTGGGTATTTTAAAATGTTTTTAAAGTAGCTACTTCCAAAGTGGTGTGAAATCCAGGGTGAAATCCATGTCTATTTTGACTGAAAACAACCTCCTTGGAATCAGTGGAATAGCTTGCACTTACAGTATGGGTGGTGGTGTTCTCAAACCACAGCTTAGTTTGAAGCATATTTGGATCATGACCAGAGAAATTCCTGCCACTGTAATTACCCCCAGCGCTTTCCAGCTCCTAAGCTTCACAAAGTTTCACCAAGCTGCTCATCCACCTGTTTGTGGACATGGGCTCCAAACAATAGAAGAGCAGCAGGTGCCACAGCCACACTGATGCTTCATTTGCAGGTGCAGAAAGAAAATGCATTGGGGTCCCTTTCTCCTTGGAAACTCCTGCTTGAATCTCTACTTACATAATTTAGTTCAGAGAATGAGACTGACACAATACAAGTGGGATCATCAGTTGCTTAGACACGTGTGTCTAATCCCACTTCAGACAACCTGTGTTAATCCAGTATTTGGTTTCTATCAGTTCCTGTCTTGTATTAGCCAGCTCCATTAGACATCTTCCTGTAGGCAGTGAAATCCCACATTTCTTGACTGGGCCCGACAGTCTTTCCCATCTATTGCTCTATATGTATTGTTGTGCAATACAGCTTAGAACTCAGAGGAATAAATTCTGAAACCAAAATAGCACAAATAGTCTTCTTCTACAATTTTTTAAAATACCAAAGGAGGAAAACGCATAAGAAAGATTAGTTTGGCTGAATTGTTTTTCTCCTTGGAAAAGATGCTGAAGACTATATGTGAAGTACATCTTTTTCAGAAAAGACTTTTTCAGAACCATGTTAGACAAGTTTGGAGGGAAATTGTGGTTCTGAGAGAGCAAAACAAAATTCATAAATAGACTGGCTAGATTTGAGAGAATAAGGCAATAAATCAAATCCCCATAAATAGCACTCAGAGTCATGCACCATACAAAGTGACCTGAAGCAGTAGAAAGAAAAAAATTAGAAAGCATAAAACTCAGAAAAAGCAGACAATTTCAAGAGGGCAAACAGTGCATAATTTATAAGTGAGGTAAAACTGCAATGGTAGCAATAAAAAGGTGAAAAAAGAAAACAAGAGTTTTTCACTTTGAAGTTTTGCTGTAAGGTACAATAACTGTGCTTTTGTCAAGGATTTGGAGGACACAAGCAGAAGAAGAACACAGTTCCCCTGCTAGAAGCTTCTGATAGTTACTCACTGATGAAAGCACAACAAGAAGAGCAATGCCAAACTCAGCAAATGGCTCTGCAAGAAAGGAACCTCAGTCATCATTAATCTCAATATTAACAACATGATATGGCTCTTATTTTCTCTATCTCAGGATGCTGTATGCAATTTTGTAAAGACACAGGGAAGAAGAATTGTTGCTATTGAAAACAGCTGAATGCAACTCATGGATTTTAGCATGTAATTTGTTCACATTTATTTATAGTAAGATGTGGCAAGTGGAAGACAGGCCAAATAGAAAACAACAGTTTAACAGTTTCTTCCTAGTTTCATTATTTCTCTGTTTGCACATTCACCTCTTCACTCAGCCCATTCTGATATAACTTACCAGGCTAGGGAGCAATTATTTAAAATGTCTCAATCCACCAGCTCCCACACCGAGCAGCACTGGTGGTGGGCAGGGGCCACGGCCATAACAGCCCTCTGTGCAGCCCCTCACTGCCCACTTCCCTGCTCCAACACGTGCCATCCAGGCTGCACCTCCTCCCTGCCCACAGCCAGTCATGGATTTTCGAGAGGAAATGCAATTTTTGCAAGATCAGGGATAGCACTCTTTTGGTCATTATTGTAATTTCATTCCAGATTTCATGGCATTTAATCTTTCTCAAAACCCCAGCTCTTAAAATGATCTCATATTGTGGCAATATCTGTTTCTCTTAATGAAAAGGACATTTTTATATCCTTCAATTGCAGAAATCACTGTAATTCTGAATGCAAAAGTTCAGAAGCCAAAAGCCAAATTAAAAATAAGCCACTTTATAAAGATACTCTCAATACTTAGAATTAATCCATTACTTCAGGGCAGAATTTCTGAATGCTTAGAACTAACATTAGCATTTTAGATAGTGTACCGAAAAGGCTAGAGGTGTTCTAATCTTCATGTATGGACTAGAGAAGCTTCTGAAAATAGTCACAGTAGTCATAGCAGCAATGTGAGTAATGAAGAAATCCTCTCCCACTACTGGGAAATGTCTCCTTTAGAAAATCAAACAAACAAACAAAAAAAACCCTCAAAATAATTCTCCAACAATCCCATTAAAAAATTCACCCATGCAGCAATAACTGTAAGGGACAAAAGAAACTAGCACTTTCTCTTGCTGCTCAGATCTGAGGTAGCAATGTAGAACGTGTTTTTTTTATTCATTTATTTTTTTAAAATACACAAATACACTGCAACACAAATCTGCAAGAATACTCACGTAAACGTACAGCCTAGTGCATAGAATCACAGAATTGTAGGGGTTGCAAGGGGCCTATGGAGATCATCTTGTCCAACTCCCTGATAAAGCAGGTCCAAAAGAGCAGATTGCATAGGAAAGCATAAGCAAACAACCTACTGTGACATAAGCACTTGACCTGAAAAGCAAACCTGGCGTAGAGATTGCTACCAATTTGTATTGCATCCAAACCAGAACAAGCTTCTCCAGAAGGGAAGCACTTGTCCCATCTACCACCATCTAGCACTCAGTACTAGCTTTATGCTGAAAATGACAACCTAGCTGTACATTAACTGCATAGTTAACAAAGTGTTACTTTTCTTTATAGGACACCTCTCAAGCTTATCATTTGGGAAAAAAAGGTGCTTTT